GCCTTCAATCTTTCCCAGCATCAGTGTCTGACCTACTTGCAGTCTGAGGTATGGTTTGTATACAATATGAAATTGGAATCTGATTTTCTATTTTCCACAAGGACAGCCAGTCCAATGCTGTTAATTGACTGGTGTGCCCTTATTCCCGTGGTGGGCGGCATAATAGCAATCCCCCAACCCAAAATGTCCATATTCTAATTACCAGAACCATGACTATGTTGTATTAACACTGCCAAGGGAACCAACGGTGCAGATGGAACTAAAGTTGCTTATCAGCTGACCTTGAAATGCAGAGACTGATGGTCAGGGAGGGGGTGGGGGGTGCAGTAGGCAATGCTGCTATGACAGTCCTGATGAGTGAAAAGGAGGCAGGAGGGAGAATCAAAGAGAGATTTAAAATGTAACTCTGGGACTTCCCTGGCACTCCAGTGGCTAAGACTCAGAGCTCCCAGTGCAGGGGACACCAATCTGATCCCTGGTCAGGGAACTAGATCTAGCATGCCACATGATCAAAAATAAATAAATTAAATAAAACGTAACTCTGCTGCCTCTGAAGATGGAAGCAGGGGCCGGAGGTACAGCTAGCCTCTGGGAGCTGGAAAAGGCAAGGAGACAGATTCTCCCCCACAGCCTATAGCAGGAACACAGCCCCAAGACCTGGATTTCAGCCTGTGAGACCTCTGGACTTCTGATCTCCAGAAATGTGGGATAGTAAGTCTATGGGGTCGTGCCAAGTCGGACACGATTGAAGCGACTTAGCAGCAGCAGCAGCAGCAAGCTCATGCTATTTTAAGCAACCAAGCTTATAGTAATTTGCTATAACAATTAAAGGAAAGCAATATGCTCTTTATCTATAATTTGTCATGTATCACACTTTTTATCTTGTCCCATTATCTACTGATCTGTGTCTGTAGCAGTGTCACACTGTTCTAGTTACTATAATTTTACACTAAGTCTGCGAGTCAAGAAAGGGGAAGCCTCCCTTCTTCACAACTGCCTTGGCTATTCTTGAATGGACTTACCTGGTGGCTCAGGGGTAAAGAATCTGCCCACAATGCAGAGACCCAGGTCAATCCCTGGGTTGCGAAGATCCCCTGGAGAAGGGAAAGGCTACCCCTCCAGTATTCTTGCCTGGAGAATCCCCATGGACAGAGGAGTCTGGTGGGCTACAGTCCACAGGGTCACAAAGAGTTGGACACAACTAAGTGACTAAGCACATACACACATAAGCACACACTCTTGAATATGTAATTTTTTAATTTAAAAAGAAAAGAATACATCTCAAAAGAAAAATAAATGCAGTGCACAGCGAAGACGCTTTCTAGGGAGAGGGTGTGAGCTAAAACTCAAAATCATGAAGCAACGACATAGTCAGTGAATCACACACAGCACAAAGCAGCTAAGAAAAGCTTCGAAACCACTGGACTTATCACCCCTGGGGTGAAGGATTTCAACAGCCGAGAAACTGTCAACAGCAGGCAAAAACTTTACTTATGACCAAATTCATTCTCCTGACTGAAACAAAAATTACTTAACTAACAAAATACATAAGACGGCAGTTTTAATGACATTGGAATTCAGCAAGAAATGCTCCTAAGGAACTGGAAACAAAGAAGTAAGCCCTCCAACGGTCCCAAAATTAACATGTTGAGTGATTTTGCAGATTGCAGTGCAGGAAAGGGGAATGCAGAGCACAGTGGACCCCTGATTGGAAGGCTGGGCTAAGAGTTCAAGGAGACCAAAGAAACTGAAGTTTGCAGGGCTGAGCACAGACAGGAGAGGGGTGCAGAGAGGGAACTCCAGCCACTTATAGAGGGTCCCTCTAGGATTCAGTAGGTCACTGACTGGGAAACTACCCAAGGATGGGGAAAGAGTCACCCCCAAAATTAGAGGGGCCAGGACCCTGTGCTCACATGGGGCCATTCTCACAGACTGGTAAACTTCATAATTCAAGGCCATCAGGCAAAGTACCGAAGGAGGTCTTCTCACTTGGTGAGGAGTAATTAGCCCTAGACTAAATGCTCATGGGGTCCCATCTCACAACTCTTAAAGGCAAGGCCCTAAATGACCAAATGATTTCCAAAGTTCAAAAGTGTTTACCAGCTACCTGGACTTCCCTGCATGTCCAGTGGTTAAGACTCCAAGCTTCCACTGCAGAGGGAACTAAGAGCCCACATGCCATGGGGTATGGCAAAATATATATATATATTTGTCAACTATAAAAATATTTAGCAACCAAAAGGAGAAAATTCACAATATCTGGAATCCAATCAAAAGTTATGACCATAGAGAAGCTGGAAGATACAACCCAAATCAGGACAAAAATCAATTAATCAAAACTAACGCACAACTGACCAAGATTTTAGAATTGGCAAACAAGGACATTAAAGTAGTGCCAAACTTTGCAATGTTATCTCCAGATTCTGGTACCTTGAAACTAAACTAGGTTAAAATGAGAATTACTATATGGGTCATTTCAAACAGGATAAAATACTGGAATTTTAATTTTAAATTGTTGCACAGGTCTAAAGTTCATCTACCTCTGCCACTTTAGGAGAGAAACACAAAAGCATAAGTTTGTCAGTAGTTATACCTATATCTCACTTCTGGAGATGAAAACGACAATATCTGTGAGGAAAATGTGCTGGGTGGGATTCATGGCAGATCAGAGGCTGCAGAAGAAAAGAGTGAACCTGAAGACGCAGCAATACAAAGTATCTAGGATTGGAGCACAGAGAGAAAAGACCACCAGTAAAACTGAGCAGAAGCTCAGCAGGGTGGGGCTTCCCACAGCTCTGCCACCTGATAAAGGCAAGACCGGGAGCCTGGAGGGAGAAGAGAGAGGAAGACAGAGAAAATAATCAGAGAAGGAATGATCAAAATTGTTCCAAGTTCGATTTAAAAAGAAACAGAGCTCCAAGAAGTTCCATGAACACCACCAAAATTAGTTAAAGGACCATTTTGGGAAACAAAGGTAGCAGCACACTAGGCTTTAAATCTCCTCCAAGGGACTTCTCTGGAAGTCCATGTTCCCAATGCAAGGGGCCCAGGTTCGAACCCTGGTCAAGGAACTAGATCCCGCATGCTGCAACTAAGACCCAGTGCTGCCAAATAAATAAATAAAAATAAACATTTTAAATAATAATAAATATATCTCCTCCAAGCCCCGCATGAAAACAGACGGGGCAGCTGGGAACGCAAACACAGAGCCCACAGGCCATGCCGACAGCCAGTCAGGCTGGAGAAGCCAACAGGCTGACAGTTAATTCGATTAGAAGGCCTTCACACAAGCTGTCTGTTTACAGTGTCATAACTGCACCAAAGTGTCACAACTACACGTGAAAATTCCTTTCCAGAAAAAGTACTTGTTATTTTTCCATTGACGATAGCTGTAGAGGTTTCTTCTCTAAGAAAATGATCTCTTCAGGTATTTCTAAGGACCACAGTAAACTATATTTATTATTTTGAACTGCGTTTATTACATTTCACTACTGCCCAAGCTTCTCAAGTGGCTAGTGGTAAAGAACCTGCCTGCCAACAAAGGAGATGTAACAGACTTGAGTTCGATCCTTGGGTCGGGAAAATCCCCTGGAGGAGGGCATAGAAACTCACTCCAGTATTATTGCCTGGAGAATCCCATGGACAGAGGAGCCTGGCGGACTACAGTCCATAGGGTCACAAAAAGCTGGACACAACTGAAGTGACTTAGCATGCACAGCACGCATTATCCTTTTGAATAGCTTAATTAAAAACCAGAATAATGTTTATATCAAATTAGAAAATACACATATTTTATAATTTCGGATACTATCTTTCTTTCATACTAACATTTCTTAGAGGTTGGCCTTTGTTTTATTTTTAAAATGTAATTGTGAATAGGTCAAAGAAAGGAAGATACTAGAGTTAAAAAAGGGAATGGGTTTGACCTTTTGGTATTTTTTAACTATGTATTCTATACTTTCAATGCATTTAACTTTATCCAATAAAATTGTAAATTCATTCTAAACTAACTCCGATAGAAAACACATGACTGCCACCCACCACTCCAGGGGATTCTGGCTGATATTCTGGCAGATATTTCTCAAGTACAAGCAATGCTGTACATTTCAGTATCACTTATATGTGTGTGTGTGTTAGCTGTTTAGTCATGTCTGACTCTTTGCAACTCCATGGACAGCATATTAAAAAGCAGACATCACTTGGCCGACAAAGGTCCATCTTGTCAAAGCTATGGTTTTTCCAGTAGTCATATACAGATGTGACAGCTGGACCACAAAGAAGGCTGAGCACCAAAGAATTGATGCTTTCAAACTGTGGTGCTAGAGATGACCCTTAAGAGTCCCTTGGACTGCAAGGAGATCAAACCAGTCAATCCTAAAGGAAATCAACCCTGAATATTCATTAGAAGGACTGATGCTGAAGTTGAAGCTCCAATCCTTTGGCCACCTGATGTAAAGAGCTGACTCACTGGAAAGACCTTGATCCTGGGAAAGATTGAAGGCAGGAGGAGAAGGAGGTGGCAGAGGATGAGATGGTTAGATAGCATCACCAACTCAATGGACATGAATGTGAGCAAACTCTGGAAGATAGTGAAGGACAGAGGAGTCTGGCATGCTATAGTCCATAGAGTTGTATACAGTCTTAGCGACTGATATGACTTAGCAACTGAACAAAAACCATAAAGCTGGCTGTCTGTGGCTGTCAGCCAGCCTTTGATTCTTGAGCCTTGTGTCTGCAGGACATCCATGAGAGATGCCCCTTTAAGTGTCACCAACAGACCTTTCAAAGCCTTCAGTCAGGGAGCTAACTCATGGCTAAAGCACAAAGTGTTGGGCCAGGCTTTATCACTGTCCAATTCTATACCTCTGTAGTCAGCAAAAACTCAATCAACTGATTCCAGTTAAAGCAATTTACAGCAAGTATCTGATAAATGTCATTTACCTGGGCACACATGGAGCTGTGCCGTGAGCTTGAAGACTCAGCTCTCAGCACACACTTACTTGACGGGGACGCAGGTGACTTCCTAAAAGACCGCCGCTCTGCCTTGGGGCCACTTGCATTCCCTGTGGGTATGTCCGGGTGTTCTTCAGGGCTCAGCAAGTACTGGAACTGGACCGTCCCTGACTCCACCTGCTTCACCTATGATGGACCACAACAAGAGAAGTGATGGCCACGCTCCCTCCATCAGCACTGTGTGGTCAGAATAATTCAACCAGGAACATCCGCCCAATCCTAAAACAATCGGTGTGGATTACCCTCAGCCAAGCAGAAATCAACACCATTGCTCCAGTTTGAATGCATTTTTACTTAACCTATGTTATGCTGACTCTTCTTATTTTGAATTTAAACACATGTAACCACCACCAGCACCAGGTACAGAGCAGCCCCACCACCTAAAACGCTCACCCATCCTGTGCATACCCACACCCAACAATCACTGAACTGCTCTCCACCCCTGTCTTTGGTCCTATATACAGGGTCTCATGCTACAGAATCCTTGAGACTGGCTTTTTTCACTCCCTGGTAGGCGGATGAGACTCATCTGAGCAGTACCGTGTAAGCACAGCCATTCTTTTTCATTACCAAACAGCTTTCTATTGTACCATGTGCCTCAGCATACTTATCCATTCATCCACTTAGAATATATGGGCTGTTTCCAGCTTGAGTGGTTATAAATAGAGCTGCTGGGAACACTGGTGTAGATATTTCTGCATGGACATAAGTTTTCATTTCTCCATGTTTCATTTCTCTAAAAGTAAGATTGCTGGGTCATATGGTGCATGTATACTACATTTTACAGGAAACTGCTAAACTGTGACTTACTTCTGAACTCTGTATTCCATTCCATTAGTCTATGTGCCAATGCTTTTACCAACAGCACTTTATCTTGATTACCATAGCTTTAATGAAAGTGTTGAAATTGTGTAGCATGAATCTTCCAACTTAACCGTTCTTTTCAAAATTGTTTTAACCCTTCTAATTCCTTTGCTTTTCTATATAAAGTTGAGAATCAGGGGTTTCCCTGGTGGTCAAGCGGTTAAGAATCCACCTGCCAATGTAGAGGACATGGGTTCGATCATCCCTGGTCCAGGAAGATCCCACATGCCAACAGGCAACTAAGTCCATGCACCACAACTGCTGAGCCTGCACCCTGAAACCAGAAAGTAGCCCCTCCTCACCACAACTAGAGAAAGCCCTTGTGCAGCAACAAAGACCCAGTGCAGCCAAAAATTAATTAAAGTTTAGAATCAGCTTGTCTCTATTTATTAAAAAATTATGTAAGGGTTCTGATTGAAATTGTATTAGATCTATAGATCAATTTGCAGAAAATTTGTATCTTTATCATGTGAGTCTTTCGATCCATAAAGAAGACCCTCCATTTATTTAGGTCTTCTTTGATTCACCTAAGAGTAATCAATGAGAAAAATGACATGCAGCAAAAGGAATGTTTTATCATTTTCAGCACACAGATCCTGTACATATTTTGTTAGATTTATTTCATTGAGGTGGGGGTGCTTTGGAAATAATACTGCTTTTTAGATTTTACTTCCCAATTGTATATATTTTGTTAGTATAAAGAAATGTCACTGATTTTCCATCTTGACCTCCTGCTGTATACTACAATCTCCCTAAACTTACTGTTTATTCTGGGAGTTTTTTATAAATCCTTCGAGATTTCCTACATAGAAAATCATACTGTTTGCACATAAGAAGAGTTTTGTTCCTTTCTTCCCAATCTCTATGGGTTGTTTTTTTATTTTGTTTTATTCCTCTATTGTACCAGCTAGAACTTCCCATGCAATGTCAAATAAGATGCTGAACACTATGAGTGGGCATTCTTCACTTGTTCCTGACCTAAGTAAGAGGGAAAGCATTCGATTTTTCACCATTAAGCATGATGCTAGCTAAAGAATTTTTGTAGATACTATTGATCAAGCTGAGGAAGTTCGTCTTTATTCCTGTTGGCTCAGTTTCTGTCATAAATGGATGTGAATTTTGTCAAATGCTTTGCGTGCATCAGTTGTTGTTATTCATACGGTTATCCTTCTTTAGGCTATTAGAGTGAATTACATTTTCCAAAAGAAAATAGCCTTGCATCCCTGGGATAACCCTCTACTTGGTCATGGTGTATTACTCTTCTTCTATACTGTTGCATGGACTTCCCTGGTGGCTCAGATGGTAAAGCATCTGCCTACAACGTGGGAGACCTGGGTTCAATCCCTGGGTCGAGACGATCTCCTGGAGAAGGAAATGGCAACCCACTCCAGTATTCCTGCCTGGAAAATCCCATGGACGGAGGAGCCTGGCAGGCTACAGTCCATGGGGTCGCAAAGAGTAGGACATGACTGAGCGACTTCACTCACTTATACTGTTGGATTCAATTTACTAATATTTTGTTGAGCATTTTTCATCTGAGTTCATGAGGAAAATGCATCTATGATTTTCTTTTCTTATATTGTCTTCTTCTGGTTTTGATATCAGGATAATGAAGGCCTTGTTACATAAATGTGGAATTGCTCCCCACCTATCCTATTTTCAAGAAGAGAATCTATACAATTGGTGTTGTTTTTCCTTTAAATGTTTAGTACAATTTATAGTGAATGAAAGTGAAAGCCACTCAGTAGTATCCAACTCTTTGCGACCCCATGGACTATGGCCTGCCAGGCTCCTCTGTCCATGGAATTCTCCAAGCAAGAATACTGGAGTGGGTTGCAGTTCCCTTTTCCAGATCTTCACAACCCAGCGATTGAACCCAGGTCTCCCACATTTCAGGTAGATTCTTTACCATCTGAGCCACCAGGGAAGCCCTCTATATTACATATTATAGTGAACAGGCCAGGATATTTCTTTATCAAAAAAAAATTAATGATGAATTCATTGTCCATAAAGTTATAGGACTACTCAAGTTATGCACTTCATCTTGGGTAAGTTTTGATGGTTTGCTGTTTAAGACAAACTGGTCCATTTCATCTAAATTTTCAAGTTTATAGTATTTCCCCTAACATCCTTCTCATACCTGTGTGGTCTGTAGTGGTTATCCTTTCTTCCATTCCTATTATTAGTCATTTGTGTTCTCTCTTTACTTTTTCAGTCTTGTTAAAGGCTTGTCAAAGAACCAGTTTTTTACTTCACTGGCTTTCTCTAGTTTTTCCTCTATTGTTTTTCTGTTTTCAGTTATATTGGTTTCTGCACTTATATTTATTGATTTTTCTTTACTTGCCTTAGGTTTATTTTCTGCTTCTTTTTCTACTTTCTAAAAGTGGATGATCAGATTATTGATTTGAGACCTTTTTCTGTTCTTATATAAGCACTTAATGCTATAAATTCCCTGTAAATATACTTGAGCTGCAACCTACAAATTTTGATATGTCATATTTTCACTTTTGTTCAGTTCAAAGTATCTTTTATATTTTCTTAAGGCTTCCTCTCTGACTTACAGATTATTTAGAAATGCATTAATTTCCAAGTATTTATAGTTTTTTATGCTATCTTTGTTATTGGCTTCTAATTTAATTCCATTGTGACCACAGAAAATACCTTGTGTAAATTAAATTCTTTTAAAATTACTAAAATTTGTTTTCTGATCCAGGCTATGGTCTTTCTTGGTAAATGTTCCATGTGCACTTGAAGAGAATATGAAGAGAATATATCCTGACATTGCTGGGTGGACAGTTCTATGAAGGTCATTTAGATCCAGGTGCTTCACAATACTGTTCAGTTTTATATACTGATGATTTTCTATCAGTGTGCTTATAGTTTAATCTAAGAGGAGTGCTGAAATCTCCAAATGCAACTGTGAATTTGTCTATTTCTTCTTTCCATTCTATTAGCTCTTTGCATTTTGAACCTCTGTTAGATACATACACTTTTAGGTTTATATGTCTTTGTGGTGAATTGACTCTTTTATCACAGGTGACATCCCCCTTAATTCCTGGAAATTTCCTTTGCTCTGAAGTCTACTCTGCCTGGTATTAATATAGCTACTCGAGTTTTCTTTTGATTCGTGTTTGCACACAATGTTTTGCCATCCTTTTGCTTTTGAAGTGAGTTCTTGACAGATAGCACATAGTTGGACCTTGAGAATTTCATGTCACCTGAAAATTTCTGACTTGAATTTGATGCGTGCAGACTATTTACACTTCATGTAATTATTGGTGGGTCTGGGTTCAGGACCGTCATTTTATTATGATTTGTTCCTTCTGTTTCTCATTCCTGTTTCCCTTTCCTGCCTTATTTTGAATTATTCCATTTTATCTATCTATTGGGTTTCTTACTATCTCTTGGTAGCTTATTTTTAGTGACTGCTCTAGGGTTTACAATGTAAATAATTTTTTCAAAATCTACCCAAAAATCTATATTTTATTACTTCAAGTGGAATGTAGAAATTTTATCACCCTACAGGTCTCTTTATATTCCCCTTTATTTTATAGCTATCTTACCTATTATACCTACGTACCTTAAAAACCCTAACAAACAGAGTTATGATTTTTGCTTCAGCCATCAAACCCATTTTAAAGAACTCAAAAGAAGGAGAATAGTGTATTCTATTCATCATTTTTGTTGCTCTTTCTTCATTCCTGATGTACCAAGTTTCCATCTGGTATAATTTTTCTTCTGTCTAAAGAAATTCCTTTAGCAATTCTCTTAGAGCATCTCTACCTGCCAATGAATTCTCTCAGTTTTAGTTTATCTGAGGATGTCTTTATTTAACCTTCATTCCTGTAGGACAGTTGCTGGAATAGAATTCTGAGTTCTGGGGTCTTTCTGTTAGTGCTTTTAACACGTTGTTCCATTTCCTTCTGCCCCCATGGTTCCTGCAAAGAACTCACAATATTCAAACTATTGTTTCTCTATAAGTAATGCATCATTTTTCTACTGCTGTCTTCAAGACTTTGTCTTTTTCAGCAGCTCGATTGTGATATGTCCGAGTGTGGATTTCTTTGCATTTATCTCTGGGTTTTGGACCTCTTCAATCTGCAGGTTTAAGTCTTTTGCCGAATTTGAGTTTTCAGCCATCATTTCTTCAGACATTTTTTTCTGTACTGTACTCTTTCTCTCCTACTGGGACTCTGATGACATGGGTGTTACCCTTTGTGGTCCTACCCCACAGGTCCCTGAGGCTTCTTCCACTCTCCTCCAATCAACGTTCTGTGGCTCAAGTTGAATAAATTCCACTGATTCATCTTCAAATTCATTGATGCTTCGGTCATATCCATTCTGCTATTGCGTCCACCTAGTGAGTACTTTATTTTTGCAATTTTATTTTTCAGTTCTAAAATTTCCATTTGCTTCTTCTTTATCTATCTTTGCTGAGACCTTCTATCTTTCCCTTTGTTTCAAAAGTGTTCATTCTTATTTATTGTATTATGTTTATAATGCCTGTTTTAAAGGCTTTGTCTGATAATTCCAACATTTGTGTCATCTCAGTATCACTGCCTGTTGAATGTCTTTCCCCTGCAAGGTGAGGTTTTCCTGGTCTTTTGTATGTCAATTAAGTATACACTGTGTCATGGACATTCTAAATATCACTTTATACGATTCTCTTTTAAATATCACACTATAAGAATCTCTTTTAAAGTTTATGGAGAATGTTGATATTTTTGTTGGGTCACAAATCAACCCAGTTGGGTTCAAGCTCCAGTTTCCAAGCAACCTCCTGTGGTCTCAATATCAGTCACATTCTCAAAACCTGGGCAGGGCTCCTCAGTCCTCTCCTAGCTGTGACGCATGCAGGGGCAACTCCGTCCACAGTCCAGTTCTCAAAGTCTGCCATACGTTGTTAGGGTCAGATTCAGGCACATGAAGCTGAGGGTTAACTTAGCATTTCTGAACAACTTTACAGGGGACTTTCCAAGATCCTCCCTCTCCAGATCCCCCTTGTCGTCATTGTTGTTGTTCAGTCACTAAGTCATGTTCAGCTCTTTGCAAACCCATGGACTGCAGCACACCAGGCTTCCCCATCTCACTATCTCCCAGAGTCTGCTCAAATCCATGTCCAGTGAGCTGGTGGTGCTATCTAACCATCTCATCCTCTGCCACTCCCTTCTCCTTTCGCCCTCAATCTTTCCCAGCATCAGAGTCTTCTCCAATGAGCTGGCTCTTCACAGCAGGTGGCCAAAGTATTAGAGCTTCAGTTTTGGCATCAGTCCTTCCAATGAACATTCAAGTTGATTTTCTTTAGGATTGACTGGTTTGATCTCTTTGCAGTCCAAGGGACTTCAGATCCCACTAGTTCTTTTCAATTCTCAAGGGTTCTCCTTCCAATGCTCTGGTAAGACCCCACTGGGCTGCAAGCCTCTGGCAACGGTACCTGAATGCAAGGCCAAGCAGAGCAAGGAAGTGGGGAGAGGGCGGAGCGTGGTTGCTTTTTAAATGCAAGACTGTATAAAAGAGCTTATGTTCTCATCTATCATTATTGTAAGTCAGTATACAATTTCTAAAATTGATAAACCAAGAAGTAGCAGTAGACACATATTATTTAGAAAACAAGGTAAATGCCATATGTCACAGCTCAGAGTTGAAACTGGCTACCTCTGGAGATATTAACTTTTTTTAAAGACGATTATTTGTTTGCGGGAAGAATACAGGAGCTGTTTAAGAAGGAAAACACAAACATAATACACTACTTACCTTCACAGTAAATAACATTGAAATAATCTTAATAACATAAACCCCAAAATTTACTTAGTAAAAAAATTATGGGATGTTTTTAATATGTATCTTTTTTCTTATGATTAATATCTGTCAGTCCTGGAACTATGAGTTCCACAGGATTAGAGAGTTTTCCTAGAGTAGATATAGGTGCTCAGTAAAAATTCACTGAGTGAATAAATAAGATAAAGAATTGACTGGTGCCCAGGCAGAGACCAGGCTTACCTAGGAGTCCACCCTTCTGATGTGGTAATGCACGACTACATGAGATGAAAAACAGGAAGACGCAAAACAGCGCCTTTAGAAAGCAGGAGAATGAATAGAGTTTGTGATCAGTGGCAGTTTATTATTTTAGTTAATAATATCTGTTTACAGTAGTGGTCCTCAACCGGGGGCAATTGTGCCCACAGAAGAACACATTCAGCCATGTCTATGAACATCTGTGCTCTGATAACTGGGGTGGGGGTGCACTACTGCCTCTAGTGGGTGGAGGCCAGCAATGCAGTTCAACATCCTCCAGGGCAGTGCTTGGGACAGACCCACAGCAAAGAACAGTCTGGCCCCAAATGTTGCTAGTGCTGAGTGGAGAAACCCTGATTAGAAGTGATATTCCTCATGGAAGACGATGGTATTTGATGACCTTGAGATGGTCCAACCTTCACAACACTTATGTTCCAATATAGTTTACACACTTACAAAGCAAAGGAAATGTAGTGAACATGAGAAGGCAAAAATTAAACAGAATAAGGATTTATTTACATAGGTACATACACAGGAAGAGAGAATGAGAATACGGCAGTAGCTTCAGGATTTCTAATGGCAAGTTTATAACAAGGGCTGAAGCCAGACCATGTGGGAATGCAGTGAAATGTGGTCCTGTAATGAGGGACATTCCTTATAATAAGAGAAGTTGCATGATCAGCTGCTCGCTGATTCAGGTCCCCAAGGTATAATCCACATCATAAATAATAGCACTGAATATGATGCTTGTCACTGGAGTCAGCACACGAATGACATACTGAAATAACAGGTATGGTCCTTTTACCCAAGAAAAATGAGCCAATTGAGTCCTAGAAGGCTCCCATTTGATCTGCTGAGACAGGACAGGCGTATCTCAATAATGTCAGCAGAAGAATAAAACAGCAGAAACCCTGCCACAACCCATTAGTGTCAGAAGGACCCAGACGTCAGCCAGAGCAGGGATGTCACACGGCATGTGTGTCGCGGGGTCCCTGCTCCCCACCCTGTAGGACTGCCAACAGGTCAGGGGAGCCCATGAGGTGAGACCCACACACAAACATGCTTCCACCGGCCCTGCCCCACTTTTGTTTGCTTTCTACAGTGGGCATCAGAGAAAGCTTCATTTCAAAATGGATTTATATAAGTTCTGCTGTGGTGCCTCCTCTCTGGACACAGCTAGAGAGTCGAGGTCAAGTGAGGATAAGTGATGAGCCACAAAGACCAGCTAGGGGATGCCAACTGCCCAGCTCCCACTCCAGCCTTGTGCACACAAGATGCAGCCCCCAGTGTACACACATTTCAAGAGGGCTTTTTTATAAGGGAACCCTCCTCTATGGCTGGTGGGAATGAAAGCTGATGGAGCCACTGTGGAAAACAGTACAGAGGTGCCTCAGAAAGCTAAAAATAGAATTATTATATGATCCAGCAATTCCACTCCTGGGCAAACATATGGAAAAAACTGTAATTCAAATAGATACATGTATCCCTATGTTCATAGCAGCACTATTCACAATAGCCAGGACATAGAAACAACCTAAATGTCCAACCACAGAAGTATGGATAAAGACGACGGGGTACATATACACAGTGGAATACTACTCAGCCTTGAAAAAGAATGAAATAACACCATTTGCTATAACATGGATGCAATTAGAGATTATCATACTAAGTGAAGTAAGACAGAAAGAGTAAGACAAATACCATATGATATCACTTATATGTGGAATCTAAAATATGACACAAATGAACTTATCTATGAAACAAAATCATAAACACAGAGAACAGACTTGTGATTGGTCGGGGGTGGGGGGTAGGGGGTGGGGGAGGGAAGGATTGGGGGTTTAGGGTTAGCAGATGCAAACTGATACATATGAAATGGATAAACAACAAGGTCCTACTGAATAGCACAGGGAACTATATTCAATATTCTGTGATAAACCACAGTGGAAAAGAATGTGCAAAAGAATATATATAAATGTGTAACCAAGTCACTTTGTTGTATGGCAGTAATTAACACAACACTGTAATTAAACTGTATTTCAATAAAAAATAATGTCTTTTTAAAAAGATGGCATTTTAAAAAGCACAGAAGTGCATCTCGTGGCTCTCTGTGTAAAAATAAGAGGCACAGGCCACCTTGAGAAATGGATACATAAGCAGGGACATAATAAGACCCCAGATAACACCACCTTCAGGGAGATCAAAACCGCTTATAATTCAGCAATCACACTAATATTTTCTCTTTTTTTAAATTTTTTCCTTTATCCAGTCATCATTTTTTAGTCATTATTTTTTTTAATTTGTTTTTAATCAAAGGATAACTGCTTTACAATACTATGTTGGTTTCTGCCATACATCAACATGAATCAGCTATAGGTATACCTATATCCCCTCTCTCTTGAACCCCTCCTCCCACCTCCCATCCCATCCCACCCCTCCAGGTTGTCACAGAGCACCGGGTTTAAGCTCCCTGTATCCTACAGCAAATTCCCACTGGCTATCTATTTTACACATGGTAATGTGTGTTTCTGATTATGACTCAGCAGTCACACTTAGTTTTTAAGGGCAAATCTGTGACCTGAAAAAATACTGCTCATGAAACACCGACAAACAATATTTGTCAGCTCTAGTGTTAAAAATGCATGAACTTGCTAGAAGCATGTAGAAAGCAGTCACACTTATGGGGTCTCTAACATTTACCTCTTCGGAGCTCTTGCTGGCTGGAGGAACCTTATAGACCAGACATTTCGAAGGGTTGGATTGGATGCCACCCTGGAGAGGTAACATCACCCGCCCGGAGACGGCTTCCAGCGAGGGGTTCCAGACAGCCCAGCGAACCATGTGCATACATGCCAGGCTGGACAAGGAGGTGAATGAAGCTGCCTGGAACGGAAACAAAGCACATGGGTCATAGGTTGTCGCCAAGCCCACATGGGTGGGGGAATCAACAGTGCTTTCCTGGGACAATCTCATCACAGGGCAGCATAGCAAGGCAGGGGGTCATCACAAAAGAAGGCCCACGATAGAGGAGGATATGGCACCATGTCGGTGGCTCAGAGGGGGCAGGAAGCCAGCCTCTGATTCTGAGACGCTCCCCACCCCCACCCCAGTCTAACCAGGACCCTCCTGAAGACCAACACTGCCTTTATGATACCTCCTCTTCCACAGGATCTTTATGCAGATTTCCTTTTCTCCCTTTGTTTTGGGAATATAGTTTCTTTACAATGTCGAGTTAGTTTCTGATGTACAACAAAGTGAATCAGCTACATGTATACATACAGCCCTTCCCTCTAGAGCCTCCCTCCCCTCTCCCCATCCCACACCTGTAGGTCATCACAGAGCTCACACTGAGCTGAGCGTCCTGTGCTTTACAACAAGTTCACACTAGCTGTGTATTTTACACATTGGGGTGTACATATGTCAATGCTACTCTCCCAGTTTGTCCCATCCTCTCCTTCCCCCAAACTGTGTCCACATGTCCATTCTCTAGTCTGCATCTCTATTTCTGCTTTGCAAATAGGTTCATCTGGACCCTTTTTCTAGATTCCACATATACGCATTAATAGTCGATATTTGTTTTTCTTTCTGACTTACTGCACTCTGTATGACAGACTCTGGGTCCATCCACATCTCTACAAATGACCCAATTTCGTTCCTTTTACCAACTGAGTAATATTCCATTAGATACATGCACCACATCTTCTGCAGGTTTTCAAACACTCTGCACTTTAACATCCACCCAGATCCATGAATAAAACACCAGGAGTGGCACTTTGTGTTAGTAATGAGACACTTCATAAAATAATGAAGAATATACATTCACATTCAATTTAGGATTTTAGCACACATTTTCTCCAGCAAAGTTTCAGCTCCTCATTGTATGTTCTATATACGTAGCTTATATGTAACTTATATGTAACTAGGAAATTACCCAGGCCAAATGTTTCATGCTGCACCTTCTTTCACTGCCTCTATCACTGGCCAGATGAAAGGGAGGACAACGCTAGGACCCCTCTCCCCATAATTAGCCTCCACCTTCAGACAAAGCCATTTTCACAAATATGGTTTCCAGGCTTGAGTAGGTAGCATTTTAAAGAAACCACTTTCATCCATTATTCAAAAGGAAACAAGAATAAAATGGAACTTGGAGTGGGTCCTGGTCAGGTCCTGACATTCCTGCTCGGCTGGGCAATGAGACTCATGATCTACCCCCTTAAGCCAGCTCCAGAGACACTGGCTCATTCCCTGGCAGGAGACACATCGGCACCCCCAGGAAGGCCATTTCCCGACCAGAGGCCACCAGACATACGACAACAGCAGGTGAGATGGGAGCCCGGGAACAGTGCTTTCGACCCCAAGAGCCCAGTGGCATCAACCGAAGTCAGACTGACAGCCCAGACTCAGGGCAGCAGCCACACCTACCTCCACCCCAGATTCCCAGCCTCCCTGGGGATGTTGGGGAGAAGCCACCTGAAGGTAGCAGGTGTGAAATGGAACACGGTCGTGAGAAGGCTGAGGCCTGGGACCTGGGACTTGAGACCCTTGGCTGCAGTGCTTGCACCTGGACACACCTCTCCTCCAGCAACAAAATACAAAGAAACTATTAGGGACTAAAAAATAGCTTCATGCATGCACGGTTGGGGCAAATTATGAACAACATACAAAAAGACCAAAAACCCAACCGCCACTTGCAAAATGCCAGGAGCAAAAACAGAGTACTACTCACACCCCTTGCACACAACACCACCAAGGGGTGAGAAAACCAACCACCTAAGCCACTCCAGCCCAACCCCTAGACCTGCTCGACCCTCACCCCATAAAAGGAACCAGCTCACCCGGTCCTTGGGGAACAAGCAAGAGAAGTTGTTGCTTGTTCTCACACCCCTGCAACCAACCAGAATCCCAATAAAGCTTTGCCTGGATTTCCTGTCTGGCCTCTGATCAATTTCTATTGATCAGGAAAGGCCAAGAGCCCTGATCAGTACCAAACTCAGCATCTTCCTTCCCGATGCTCTCCACACCCCGGGGCACTAGGAGAGCAAAGGACTGGATGGTTCCTCACCAACAGCCCTCCATCCCTCCTGACCACCAACCACGTGAGCTAACCCAGCAGCCCTCCAGCTCAGGCCGCGGTCACAGGGAAGCAGACAACCTGCAAGGAGGTGGTCTCAGACTCTCAGAAGGAGTGGAAGCCAAGGCTTGTCTGCAATGGTGCAGAGCAGGGTCCCCAAGGAAAGGCGGTGCCAATGGGAATCCTTTGACCTGAGTTGTATCTGGGACCACGGAGCCCGGGAAGGCTCCAGCAGTGTGCCCTGGGCTCCCCACAGACCCTGCTTGATTGGCTGGACACGAGTGAGCCGTGTGTCACTGTCACAGCCAGGACCTGAGTGCACTCAGTTTGAAGGCAGATCTCACATACACACCCAAGGACTCTGGCTGGAATCCAACACAGATGAACTGATGGTCAACTGGGTGAGACCTCAGCAGGGGGTGTGTGCACACAATACGGAACAGGAAGCGCTGGGACTTCCCTGGTGGTTCAGAGGTTAGAGCTCCACACTTCCACTGCTGGGGGTGTGGGTTCGATCCTTAGTGAGGGAACTAAGCAGCGGGGTGGAGAGAACAGGAAGTTCGAGTTTCATCCAAGTCGGTCTTTAAAGACTGCTCCAGATGATGGCCCATCACATCACATCCTTTGTATCTACGTGGGGAACATCCAGAATCAGTGTCTGGTTGTGAATTAACCTCTCTTTCCTGAGGTCCCCTCGTAAACGGACCTCAAACCACCCGCTTCAGCCTCTTCTGATCCTTTACTGGAGCCAAACCCATTTCAGACCACGGGCGAGGATACCGCCGTGTTCTGCACAGTCACAGGGCTGAGCAGGGGTTTGGGTCAATTGAGTGAGCAAAAACCCACATCCTGGAAATACAAGCCAAGAACCAACCAAGTAAGAATCCTAAGCGTGAGTCTGTCTGCCGCACCTCCAGTGTCAAATATGTACTTCTGGTGTCTGTCAAATATACAGAGGGCACCCGCCCTTCCCATCCCTCAGCCGGGAGACAGAATAAAACAGCCCTAAGCAACCACAGTGTTATCAGCGAAAAGCTGCTAAAAAATATCCACTGCTTTTTAAAAAAATAAATGATAGGGGCTTCCCTGGTGGTCTAATGGCTAAGACGCCACGCTACCAATGCAGGGGGGCCCAGGTTTGATCCCTGGTCAGGGAACTAGATCCCACCTGCCACAACTAAAGTCCTGCAGGCTGCAACGAAAATCGATAATCCCATGTGCCGCAACTTAGACCTGGTGCAGCCAAATAAATAAAGGAAAATAAGTTTAAAAGCCAAATTAAGGAATAGCATCACAATTATATTAAAAATAAAAATACTAAATGTATTCACAAAACTGGCCAGAAAAAAAAACTGTAAGGACTCAGTGATACCTATACTACTTTACTATAAATAGCCATCTCCCCCAAATTCATAAGTTTACTACAGGATCAAAGTTAAAATAAAACACATGCCCCCAGTTTGATGCTATTTGTGCCAGGCCCTTCTGGCTTAACCTCTCAAAAGCAGCAACGATCCCCAGCTTCCTAGTTTCACGCTTTCTGTTGATTTTCTTATCCTCGGTCTATACAGTGTTTCTCTGTGTGAAGCAGATGTCAGATAAACAAATAGCCACTTCCCCCACTTTGTTTCAACATCTCTAACAAGAAGGGAAGGTCAGTGAGTTATGGCTCACTCCTTCAGTGGGACAACGGCTTGGTGGCAATCCACTGGCCCTTTATTAGTCTGTACTCTCTCCCAACAGGCCAGGGCAATGCCTGAAAACAAGACCCTCCCTAAGCCCACACTCCCAACCCGCACCCCCAGCTCAAGGACAAGGCCAGGTGCAGCCAAGCAGGTGGGCAGAGCAAGAGCGGTATTTCATCCGTCAATATGACAAACCTCCTCCTGTCTGTGAAATTTAGTGGGTGAGATCAGATCTGTTACTTTAAAGTGTCTTATCCTGCCAAAGTGGGTTTGATTTCATGCAAACTGTAAAAAAGAAAAAAAACAAAAACACACACACATTAAATTGTTGCCATTCACATTTTCAATTACAATAGGAGACAACACACAAAAGGCCAAAGGAATACACTTGGATCACCAATCAGGTTTGCCATGGAACAGAAGAGCATGCTGACATTCTCCAGGCAAGGGGCACACAGAACACAGACACCTGACCCCTGGAGATGCTGCAACCCAGGGTCCCCGGAATAGGCTGAATGGCGGCCCCCAAAAGGCATGTCCACTCCCCAACTGCTGGACTCTGTGACCGTGACCTTATTCAGAGAAAAGGTCCATGCAGAGGTAACTGAGTACCATGAGATGATGAGACCTAATGATCCAGGCAGGCCCTAAACCTAGTGACAGATGTTAGTACAGAGCCGGAGAGAGAGACCCAAGACAGAAAAACAGAGGGAGATGCACAGGGGGAAGGCCACGTGAAGATGGAGGCAGAGGCTGAAGCGATGTGGCCAAAGCCCAGGAACAAAACCTAGGAGAGGCAGGAAGGATGCTCCCTGGAGCCTTCAGAGGGAGCAAGCCCCTCCTGATGCCTCGATTTCAGCCAAGTGGAATCGATTCTGGATCCAGGGCTGGGAGAGAATAGATGTCTGCTGTTTCAAGCCAAGGCGTTCGGGGCAGTCTGTTCAGGCCACCCCAGGAGACTGAGGGAGGGGCTCCCCTCGGCCACTGTCCCCAGACCAGCTCAGAACTCCCCTCGAGGCAGGCAAACACTTCTGGATGTTTCACACTGTTGACTTTTGTCTAGATCTTCAGTGAGAACTTTCTCCTCCTGGCGGGGCCCCGCGTCACCTGCTGAGCCCCCTCCATGC